GTTGTGTGAGTGAGGTTATCGGAGGCCCAATTACCCTTCCCTTCCCCAATCTTCCCAATCCCTGAATCCCCAACGATCCTCAAACTCCTAATCCCCAGAAAGCCAGTAACGCACTTGTAACGCCTCTGGTGTTCCAGGTGTCCATGGGCGACGCCGATTGCTTATCATCAGGTGATCCGTCTGCTTGTTTACCGGCTTATGCCAAAAAAAAAAGAGAAATGGGAGTTATAAGGTATGAGAATTGAATTGTAAATGTGAATTAGAATAGACATTTGAATAGGAATGATATTTAAATTCAGGTATTCTTTATCAAAGTCCTAAAATTAAAATTCTTCATAATTACTGTTAGATAAATTTATTTGTTCCTACAAAATGCCAGACTGCAAATTAAATATTTTAGAATTTGTTGAAATTTACTTATACTTGGTGTTGATGCAAGAAGACAAAAGAAGCGAGCAATCAGAAGATGGGAGATGAATACAAAATTGGTCGCCTCTTTGTGTTACTGTGGGAGCCTTGGGGCTCCATCAGTAACAGTAGTAGTTGATCAAGTAACCATCATAGTAAGAAGACTGCAAAAGACCGTGAAAGACTACAGAAGACCAAAGAAGACTTTTTGGAAACAAAATTCTGGTCAAAACTACACTAAATTATATGGATTATAAATTGATTTGGTTTACATTTGACCGGGGCTTGTTCTGAAGATACAAATGGATGCTACTTCGATATTTATTTAAACGCTGGAATTTTGAGTAACCTTTTTTCTTGGGTTAATTTGATGGTTTTTATCTTACTGTATTTTTATGAGATGACAAGAAGTTATAGTTTTTTTTTAATTATGCTTATCATACAATATTTACGTAAAAAAACAAGGTTAGTTGTTAGTTCTCTTTAATTTATAAAAAATATATTTAAACTAATCTCATAATAATCAATCAGTGTTAAATTTTTAGATATTTTTATTTTAGATCAAGAACACGACAGTTTTCTATTACAGAATGACTGCGTTGTCAGAAATGTAAGAAGAGAAGAACATCTTCTTGTGACTTCTTGGATCTCATATGCGAGAAGACATATAAGATAGTAGGTAAGAACCATACTATATTTAAATTTTTGATAAATTTCAATTTTTCCAGTAATTTCTGGACTATTCTTTTGTTAATTATTATATTTTCGGTTTACTTACGTAACTGTTTGACGAAGAACTCGACTAATTTCAAGCCATGATAGTCTAACCTTCTAACAGTGTCACGCGTGCCGCCACAGATAAGTAAGTGCGTGTAAATCATAGCAGAGGGCGCACTAGGCACGTACTGCAGACTCGAGTGACCAGTAGCAGCGTGATAGTCACCGCGTCGCGGGCCGCGAAATGCTGCTCATAAATATGAGCCTCTGGGATGGCTTACAACTAGTCGAGTTCCTCGTTAAACAAATACGTGAGTAAGCCGAAAACTTAATAATTAATTTAGTATGTCTCACGAAAGTTTCTTTTGTTCATTGAGTTGTGGTGTAGTAGTCGTGATGGAATGGATGTAGTTTTTTTCTCATTTATCTGTTTACTAGCTTTATAAATATATGAATATCAAAATTTTCCGGGATAAAAAGTACCCTATTATTTAATCCAGACTTCTAACTTTACGTCTACAAAAATTCAAAGCAATCGGTTTAGTAGTTACGGCGTGAAGTCGGAACAAACAAACAAACTCACTTTCCGTTTTATAATATTAGTAAGGATTGCACAAATCAATAACAGCAATTCAAATAGTTCAATGGGTGATATTTCTTACTTTTAAGATATCTTCATTTATAAACGTTATTGCTTAACAAAGACACATTTTTTTCTCTTTAAGGAGCGCCCAGCCCTAGCAGTTACTGAGTAGAATAGACCATTATAGACGTAAGAAGAGATTAGAAGGCTCCCTACCAAATTACGGACGAGGGAAACAACAAGAAAACTACCTATTCAGTAACCAGGTAAGTCATTATTTTCAATCAAAGTTAATATTAATATCAACGAAAGAGAAATAGAAGAATGCATCTTCTCGCTTCCTCTTCCTGTTACTGGTGGTAGCTTTGACTCCAACAGTGACAGAAAGAGTGAGTAGAGTTATCAGATGCCAGAAGACAGAAGATTCTAGTTTTATGGAGAAGATGAAGAAATGTTTCAATTAAAATCTTATTTTTGTTAAGAATAACATTGTAATATTATTTAATTGACTGTCCAAGGATAGTGGTTGACTAGTTTCAAGTTATGACTGGGGCTCATAATTATGAGAAGCATACGTGATGATTGCTGCGGTGAACATTGTTTGCACAGTTGGTTGCGGGACTAAGTACTCGAAAGACGGTAAATACTCAAGTCATCACAAAGGACACCCCTTTGTGATGACTTGAGTATTTACTTTTTTTTTAATTATACGCACTTAAGTGTTCAAATTGTGTAAAATCAAAAATATCCGTGTCACGCAATATGAACAATCCAATGTGCACATGCCTAAGCACCGCTAAAAGACGATATTCCATACTATATATGTAACTGATGTAATATAGTTATCTATGTTTTTTCTAGCAAACAAGAATTTCAGAAGCCCAACCCACTGTTTGATTGCATCATCATTTCCGGGGTGCTGTCCCCCCGGAATTGATGATGCGCTTGAACAGGTTCCTATATGGGTTACAGCGCACTGGATCTTCGAACCTCTGATTTCAACGGTGTTCAAACTTAGGCTGACTGTTGATGATACCAAGATTAGTAATATTATTAAAATAACTGTGTACCTACTGCTTTGAATCTTTTTAATCTTTATATATAATTCTGCTGTACGTGTGTATGTCATTGAATTCCTCCTAAACGGCTTGACCGATTTAAATACATTTTTCTGTATACGTTTAAGTGGCGCCCTGGATGGTTTAGATTCACAAATCAGCCTGGCAGATGGCGCTGCAGTCGGTGTCTAGAATATTTATCCTAAACTAATAATAATAATTATCATTTTATTAGTCTTTCCTTTCATACATATTATGCAGGACAACGTCTGTCGGGTCCGCTAGTAGTAGTATATAAGTTTAAAAAATTGTATACTTCTTTGTTTGTATGTTAATTAATATGTTGATTAGCCATTTCTCTTTAGGTGATACATCAGAAGTCTTCTGGTTACACACTTTCTGCCCCTGGTGGCTGCTTTGTAATTAATTCCACCAGGGGCAGCAGGGGTTAACTGGACCATTTTATATGCTACAAGATAGAAGAATACAAGAAGAGAGAAGCGAGAAGAAAGAAGAGTATCAGCATCATCAACAGCTTGTGATCGTCTACTGTTGGACTATGATTACAATTTTTGTATACTGTAATTAACAATTAGGTTCTTAATTTTGCCATACTTCTTGTATAAAATGTGCATTATTATTTCCTATTATGGCGGTTGGTCTTTCAATAAAATAAAGAAGGGGAAGACTCGAGTCGTCTCCTTCTGGAACCGTAGAATCCACCCCGGGAATCTCGGTTCCCGATGGAGAAGGCTGGGTTTTACAACAAGGAAGAAAAGAAAAGAAGACTCCAGAAGAGTATTACATATCTATTGACCCTGTCTTCTGTTCTTAGTGGATTTTTATATATTACACAAGGGATAGAAGGAAGCGATCTAGATGTATGTATGTGTAAAGAGAAAAGACTGGAGAAGAACGGAGAAGACTGGAAAAGACCAAAGAAGAGAATTAAAATTTATGTGTTGTATACTATTTTCAGTGGTTTTATGAACAATCTTGTCTTGGGCATAGTAAAATATGTACCAAATATTGTGTTGTGTAGTTTAGGTCACACAAAGAGTTGTTCCGTGCAGGAATCGAAACCGCGACACGTTGCACGGTAGCCGGTTATCCAGCCACCGCGCCAACCGTGCAGTCGTTTAGAATTATGGCCGGTGTAGATATGTGTTAGGGATATTTTATTATGGTTACAGAGACGGCAGAAGGTAAGTGGTGCCAAGAAAAGAAAAGGTTCCGAAAGACGAGGAAAGGAGAGAAGACAAGAGAAGTACAAGACAGGACAATATTCCAACGAATATTATAAATGCGTAAGTTATGTTAATGCGTATCTTCTTGTTGTAATGCATTGTGTATTGACACCAACGCTTATGTATGGCAGTGAATCATGGGTGTGTCAGATGAAGCATGAAAGCAGGATTAATGTGTCGGAAATGAGAGCCCTGAGAAGTATGTGTGGACTAAAATTGAGTGATCGAGTGAAAAATAGTGTTACTAGAGAAAAGTGTGGATTAAAAGATGATGTAGTGACAAGCATTGAAAAGGGAATGTTACGCTGGTTTGGACATGTAGAAAGGATGAATGAAAGTAGAGTAACGGAAGAAGTATACAGAGCGGATATGAATGGGGCCGTCGGCAGAGTGCGCCCTAGACGGACATATACTGACCGGATTGGCGATATATTAAAGAAGGACCAATTTAAAAGTACCCTTAACCGACGAGCATGCATGAAAAGATTTATGACTGTTGATGAAGCGAAAGAGGTATGAAGGAATCGTAGTAATTGGCGTTCCATAGTCTCTGCCTACCCTCATGGGAAACACGCGTGAAGTTATGTAATGTAATGTAAAATGATTTATGTAATGAATCTTCTAAAATTTTTGTATATATATAGTTTGGAGTGTGAAGAAGACAGCCTAATTCACGAGAGCAAAGCCACGAGTAAAAACCAGTAGATTAATAAATAAATGTGTCAAAAATGTCCGACTTAATAACAAGAATTTATCTACATAAAAACACATACACATATACTTTTTAGTCAAAGCATTTTCTACTTTATAACAAAGTGTCAAAGCTGAAAATAGAATAAAAATATTTGACAAATTGGAGCGTTTGATCTGCCGCGCAAGGTTCCTGAGATTCATAAAAATATTTTACGGCTAATCTTAATAAGACAGGGCCATCTTTACATTAATGCTAATATCTTTAAACCGTATACTTAAATAGGAATGAATTACAGATTTTTTTTTATGGCATAATCCGGTAAACGAGCAGACGGATCACCTGATGGTGAGCAATCAGAGCCGCCCATGAACATCTGGAAGTCCAGAGGCGTTACAAGTGCGTTACCGGCCTTTTGGGATTAGGAATTTGAGGATTGTTGGGGATTCAGGGATTTTGAAATTGGGGGAATTGGGCCTCCGGTAACCTCACTCACGCAATGAAACACAATGTAAGCGTTGCTTCACGTCGGTTTTCTGTGAGGCCGTAGTATCACTCCGGTCGAGCCGGCCCATTCGTGCCGAAGCATGGCTCCCTCACACTTAAAATGTATCTAGATACGTTGAACAAAATAATAACATAGGGCTGTGAACTAAGAGGAAGACTGCCTCGTTGGCCGAGTGGTCGTAAGTGCGACTGCCGGGCAAGGGGTCTCGGGTTCGATTCCCGGGTCGGGCAAAGTATTACTGGGTTTTTAAATATTCTCAGTAGTAGCACGGAGTCTGGAGTTGTGCCCGGTATATGGCAATAGGCTCACCCCCTATTATATGGGACCCATCACATAAATAGTGAAAAGTGGGTGTTACATTGTACAGTGGTATAATGTGCACCTCTGCCTACACCTTCGGGGATAAAAGGCGTGATGTTATGTTATGTTGAAAATGTTTCATGAATGTTGCATGAATAAGTCGGCTCCACTGGAGTGATACCACAGTACACCGACGTGAAACCACGATTACGTTGTTTGCAGCCGTATGAGTGAACATGCACAGTGAAGGCTTATATTCACACGCAACAGGCCCCGGCACGGCTCAAGCATAACTCTGGCATGGCGTTTTTTGCTTTTTAAACAAAACGACGTCGTCTCGCGTGAAGCGGGCTTACAGCTTTTTATATTGACGGTAAGAAATATGTCATATACGATATACGATTTAAAGTTTTAGGGATCGTAGTTAGGAGGTCACGTCGGGGTCACCACTTTAGGGATCATAGTTAGGAGGATCCCTAATTGATCGCTGCCTCTTCTGGTCGTGGGGTGCCGGGGGTTAAGAGAAACAAGGGTGTTCAGATACCGGATATATTTCACGTAAACCCCCAGATAGAACCTGATCGCTTACCATCAGGTGATCCGTCTGCTCATTTGCCTCCTATTCCATAAAAAACATTTATTTATTTATTTATTTATTTATAAGCACATGTATAACTTTACAGCACAAGCCAAAACATTATACAGTTAAATTATAAAAAAAAAATGTTACTTATTTACTATTTTACACTTATGTGATAGGTATCTTATATAAAAAAGTACAATAATTATAATTACTTAAAACTAATTCATCAGCCGTCCATCTTCTCACAAAATCTTACACATTCACGACATAACATAACAAGGCTAACAAAACACAACACAACAAACCTTTTAATATCAGCATCGGACTTGTAACTCCTCTGGTGTTGCGGATGTCTATGGGCGGCGCTGATTGCTTACCATCAGGTGATCACATCACATCAACAGCCTATAAACGATTAACGCGGCCAAACTCGTGATATAAAATCTATATATATATAAAAGAAAGTCGTGTTAGTTACACCACTTATAACTCAAGAACGGCAGAATAGATTTGGCTGAAAATTGGTAGGGAGGTAGCTTAGAGCCAGGAGACCGACATAGGATACTTTTAAACCAATACTTTTTTTTACTTTTTACCGAAAATCACGAACGGGGACGGGAAAAAATGGGATTACGCGCACGAAGTCGCGGGCAGAAGCTAGTTACTTATAAAAAAACCTTAAGCTCAGCTCTAAATCAAATTAAACGATCGGATATAGTCTCTTTATAAAAAAGTATTATTTATTAAACTGCCTCATTGCTCGCATGGCTAAAAACGTGACGATTCGGCAAGAGGTCTTGTTTTCGTTCTTCGGTCGCCCAAAGATGACAGAAATTGGAAGCATCAAATATTTCATGGTAAATCAACAGCTACATTATACGGCTTTAACAGAGAAAGAGTAATATTGAGCCAGTTACAGATTCTGACGATTAGAGACTGAATAAGTAACAGCTGAGACAAAATAAGACTATTAACATAACATAACATCACGCCTTTTATCCCCGAAGGGGTGCACATTACGGCATTTAATGCCACTGCACAATGTAACACCCACTTTTCACTATTTATGTTATGAGTCCCATGTAATAAGGGGTGAGCCTATTGCCATATACCGGGCACAATTCCAGACTCCATGCTACTACTGACAAACAAACGCGTTCAAACAAACAAACAGATACACCGACTGTAGATTATTATTAGTTTAAAGAAGATAGCTGATATATATCTACGTTTAGACCTGTTTTTAGATCTTCGGACTTACCATAGACAACGTATAAAGATTGTCATAGGAACAAAAGATTTATGGCTATAATAAAAAAAATCAGACGCATAAATCTTTCCTTTTTTAAAACTAAAATACTTATAATTATTTTAATACGACGATTTGAATGCATTTTATAATCGTCTCTAGAAGAGTATATATGTACGGCTACATATTACCATGGACACGTTAAATCTATACTATAATAATAATATTATAAAGAGGAAAGATTTGTATTTTTGTATGTTTGTAATGAATAAACTCAAAAACTACTGAACCGATTGCAATAATTTTTTCACCATTCGAAAGCTGCATTATTCAGAAGTAACATAGGCTATATAATATCACGCTAGGTCCTATAGTTGTGGAGCAGTAACCAAAAATGTTTTAAAAACGGGGGAAAAGTATCGTTTCTGAGGCCTTCCGTGGCGTGCGCTGAGCATATAGTTAAAGTTATACAAAAATGTTCTATAGATGAATTGAATTGTCTACCTTTTATAGTTTACCCATAACAATCGTTTTAATGAATGGTTCATAAAAGTCCTTATAAAAGTTTGCTCTAGATAACTTTTGAATTGTTCAATCGGTTACCTTAAGACGCGACATCGACAACGGAGGGCAGGTCGCTAAAAAAAACTGAGAATAAATATAAATAAAACGTAAAACTATGTAAAAAATCTTAAGTCCCCCCGTGCGAAGCCGGGACGGGCCGCTAGTAATTATATATTTTAGGTTTTAGTGTTCCGTAGCCAAACGACAAAACAGGTCCTTATTATTTAGACCCTAATTATGTAGGTGACAGCCGGAGGACTTTGAAATAATCGATACTTTTAAAGATAAAAGTTTAATTAATTTAAAGATTACAATAGTTTTATGTGTAGACGTGGACGATGCTAGTACCAAAGTGAATTATTTTATTAATACATATTACTTCTATAGTCCGAATTAATTCTATGTAAAATACAGATGCGACATCAGCTCTGTGGAAGTAAGTCACGAGGCGGCGACACTAGGAGTCGACTCAGCATATTGGGTGCAATATTCTGTAAAAGTGTCGCTTTGTGCGTGGCTATGTCGCTATTCAATGGATTTGGTATAGGCAGGGCACATAAAACTCTACTGTCCATCCATCTGTCATCGAACATCACCGAAGAGGTAGGCAGAGGTGCACATTACAGCACTTAACATCTTTATGTTATTAGTCCCATGTAATAGGGGTGAGCCTATTGCCACGCAACACACAAGAAATAAATATTTATATAACTACTAGCTTTTACCCGCGGCTTCGCTCGCGTCACAAAAGGATAAAAAGCCAATGTGACATATACCAATACACACAGCGCCATCTATACCAATACTTTTGTTTTCCCTCGGGAATATCAATTTTTCCGGGATGAAAAGGACCCTATTATTTAATCCGGACTTCTAACTTTACGTCTGCAAAAATTCAAAGCAATCGGTTGAGTAGTTAAGACGTGAAGGTGGAACAAACAAACAAACTCACTTTCCGATTTATAATATTAGTAAGGATGCCCGTGGCTTGGCCCGCATTCACGTTGAATTAACAGCAGCCTATTTTTTTATAGCGCTAAGCCGGTAAACGATCAGACGGATCACCCGATGGTAAGCAATCGGCGCCGCCCATGGACATCCGAAACACCAAGGCGTTACAAGTACGTAAATAAATAAAACTAAATTCTAAATTCTGAATTCTTGTTGTGTGTCGAAGCAAAATAGTTAAACGGTTTTTCTTTCTTTCTGTTGTAATGCATCAAAATAATTAATATATAATATGCCGCTGCCTTCTATTGCTAAGATGTGTAAGCGGGTTAAAAATGTCATAAACAATAATCCTTGTCTATGTTTGTCTATGTTAGTTTTTTATATATTTTGGGTATTTTGTCCAGATCTTTCTGATGACAACATAACTTCACTGTGGTCCGTTGGCTCTATGATTATAACGTCTCTGCTGGTTGTTATCTTTTTACTTCTAGGGTTATACTTTCTTTCTTTCTTCTTACGTTACCGGCCATTTGGGAATTGGGAATTTGGCGATTTCAAACTTATAATTAAAAATTATAAGTCCAGGTTTCCTCACTATGTTTTTCCTTCACCGTTTGTCAGTGGTGTCTAAATAATCTTAGAAAGTACATATAACTCGGAAAAAGTAACATTGGTACTTGCCGTTGGTAGGTTTCGAACCTGCACCCTCATGCATGAGAAGTGGGCGTCTTAAACCTTCGGGCCACCACGACCAAATAGTTTAACGAAGTTTGATATATAGGTATTCACATTTTTTATGACATGGCGGTAAACGAGTAGGCGGATTGTTAGATTTATCAAAATATATCTATGGTTTATGTTGTGTATTTGTTTATCTGTGCCATAGAGCAACACCGGTGGCCCGTGTTGCTCTATGACTTGTAATGACAATAGTCTATGGTTGTATATTGTCCATGCTATTTTTTAAAAAGGAATAAAACAGTGTCCTAATGGCGGTCTGCAGTTTTAGTTGTTCCTGCATTTAACATAATATACAACAGTTTATATCTAAGGTATAAAAATTGTCTGTGTATTGTCTATGGCCAATGTTTGTATCTCTGGTTTTAATAAATTTAAGTTATTCGTTGACTGCCTCGTTGGCCGAGTGGTCGCAATTGCGACTGCCGAGCAAGGGGTCTCGGGTTCGA